ATTTCTCTTCGCAATTTATTTTTGCAATAGAGACCCCCAGATGCGGACATAATTGGTGCATCAAGAGTGTCCCTATGTTGGATTGTTGCCAAGTCGAATCTTGTTTTCCCATAGACTTACATTGTATAATTTTTAATTGGTGTTTTATGGAAGAAACATTCTTCTGAATTTCATGAAAAAAATTTTTGCCACTTGATATCAATTTTCCTAAAATTTATTTAGGAATTTTATCCTGCAATGTCCCCAGGTTGAGTCAATGTCCTCATGTCGTGTCTTTTTTATGATTTTTTTCCTAAAAAATAAATGTCCCCAGGTCGAATTGTCCCCATGTCGAGGCGTCCGCATGTGGTGGTCTCACTGTATTACAGCTTTTAGATACTTCAAAATTATGCTACTGTCAATCAAGGGTCTCATTTTTTTAATTTTATAGCCAAAAAGTTAATATGTCTGTCTAATTTTAGGGAGTATAAGTATGATGAACACATTCATTTTGTGGTCTATGGAACGTTGTAGATTGATAAAAACATCATGCAGGTAACCTATGAAAAATCAGAATGTAACTAAGGTTATGCTTGTTTTTTTCCCCCTGAAATTTGCAGCAGGATTCGTCCGCCATTTTGGACTTGGACACCAACCGACTCCTGTTCAACAACCGCGCCCAGGACTTCCAGCAGCAGCAGCAACCTTGGGTGATGGTACCAGCAGGAGCAGGCAGTGCAGAGCACCAAGCCTGGCAAGCACCACCATGTGACAGCACCAGTGTCTTGCTTCAGCAAAGGCACCACCAATCTCAGCAGCCACCACACCATGTGACTCTCTGGCAGATGCACCAACAACAACACCAGCAACAACATGGGTTCACAGTCTTTGAGACCTCTGTGCCACCTGAAGACCCCTGGGCACCAGTTTCTCCTAATGGCGGCATGGCGGCCCGTGGTGTGGGTGGTGCTGGTGGTAACCCTGGCGGCATAGATGACAAGCGTGCCAGGCCGTACCATTGTGAAGTCTGCGACAAGTACTTTATTCGCAAGGGCCACTTGAACAGGCACTTGAGCACGTCTGCGCACCGCAGCAGACTCAATGGGGACTCTGAAGGTGGGGCTTTGGAGGTTCCACCAAAGGGCAGTCCTGGTGCCATTGGCCCGGTTGGTGGTGTTGGTGGTACCACCGTGATGGTCCCTTCACCTCTCCAACTCCCGTCCTTGCACTCGCAACAGCAGCACTTGATTGCGGTTGAGTCAGATGTGCACCATCAGCACCAGCAAAGGGTGCCAGAGTTTGCACCACTGGGGTTTCGTCCCCTGCAGCAGAATCTCACCAATGCTGTAAGTGTTTCCTCTTTCAAATTTCTGCGTCTTGTCTGTGGGGGTCATCTGGCAGCATGTGTATGTCTTGAACCACCTGCAAAAATGCAGTTGGACCTTTTCAAAATTTCAAGTAAAACTTCAAGGGACCAGCAAAAAAAAAAATTTATTTTGGGATTTTTGGGTTAGGGAAACTGGTATTTTTGCATGGGTAAAAGTAAGAATTACACAAAGGAATAATTTGCCATCTTCAGAGCCTCAAAATAATAATGGGTAAAAGAGTTGAAAAAATGCTGAAGTTGATACCAAGGGTACTTTTGTCAAATTAGTCAATCACTTTCTTACTGTGATGGAAAGCATTGCATTAAATTATTATTCTCTTACTGTTCTCTGTCCTGGATTGCCAGAAAAAATTGCCAAAAGGCCTCTGGAAAACAAGCTTAAAGAATATTGAGGAAGAGGTTAATAGTCCTAGTGTTGAGGAGGTTTTAAAAATAAATTAGCATTGTGGGCTTGATTATTGGTAATTCTGCTGCTACAGCACATTTTTAACTAGTATTTACCCATCTACATCCAAAGTATGACGTTACCGTATTTTAGTTTGAATACTGTTTGTCAGTTTATGCCTTCTATGAATTGGGTAAAATAAGTTGAAGTTAGTTAGTTGATAGGCTAGATTTCTCAAGTTTATAATTTACTTAGTATTTTATTTGATTTTGGTGTAAGTTATGGTCAGTTTGGTCTGGTGTTAGTTTAGATTAGTTATTTGTATTGGTTAGTTTTTTTCAATTTTTTGTATATGTTTAATTAGGTTTGTTTGGCGTGACATTTTTTGGTTCAATACCAAATCTAGATAACATTTTTTGCACCAAAGCATTCTTATATGTTCATGACAGATTTTAAAATGTAATGGACAGAATCAATAATGAGGAATGACTGTTCCCCATCAGTATAACTCAAGCTGAAAATACGGTTATGGTTGAAAGAAAATTTTAGAAATATTTGGTGCAGTTCATTTTTCGGAGCAACGGCTGGATATATCATCAAAACCCATTTTAAAGTAATTTCTTAATCAATAAGTCAAATTTTCTGTTAATATCCCCGCAGACCGGTTCCTTCTAGTTGAATTTTTAAGGTCTTTTGTTTGTAATTTGGTGTTGAATTTTTAGAAAATCTGTTTAAAAAAAAACATGTGCAAATTACTTTCTTTGTGATCTTCAAAAGGTATAAGGCGTCTTTGTGCAGGTGTGACAGCATCTATGAATAATAAACTGTTGTAAATCACTTCGGTGAAAAATAATTTCCATTGATCAACCTACCATAAAATGAAGCCAAATATCCCATTATTCATCAAGAGTTCTGTAAGTCAATTTTGTTTCTTTCAATTCTTTTAAATTCAAATGGAAGAATTTGAATTTTTTGGTTTGGTTTGCTGCCAAATGACCCTCATATCTCAGTGTCTCGTTGTCCTGTTGCGAATTATTTTGGAGCCATGTGGATTGAGAGAAGAATAATTCCTGACAGTTGTGAAAAAAATGTCTCGCCACGACCAGGAACCAGCCACGGTGTTTGTTCGCAGCCATGACAACTCGAGTGGCGCCTTTGTGGTGGAGCCCCTGGACACTAGCGACCTCTTGCTCGACGATGAGCACAACAACGACAGCGAGTTCGTGGTGTTGGAGTCGGATCAGTACTACATGCATCACTTGCCTCATCCCCCATCATCAGCCTCACCACCACTTTCATCAGGACCAGCAGCCCATCATCATCATCATCAGGCATTCGTGGACGACTTTTCTTCGTCGTCCTCATCGCCGACATCGTCGCCACAGTCGTCATCGGACACGACAGTGTCGAGCAGTTCCAAGCCGCGTCGGTTCCAGTGTCCCGTGTGCCAGAAGAAGTCTTCCACAGAGGCCATTCACGAGGAGCACATGGCGGCGCACAAGGGCGAAAAGCCGTTCAAGTGCAACCAGTGTCCGAAGCAGTTTGGGCACAAGACGGACCTCAGGCGACATCTGTGTTTGCACTCGGGACTGAAGCCGTTTGCGTGTCCCGTGTGCGACAAGCGGTTCATTCGCAAGGACCACATGAACAAGCATTGCGAGGTGCACAACAGGGACCGGGCCGGGTTGCCTGGGATTGGGTTGCCCCCAGGTGCTGCTGCTGCTGGCAGCACACCCGAGCTGGTTTCGGGTTGCTTCTGATCTGATGAACGCTTCGCAGGGGTTTTCTTGTTCGTGTACCGTTTTGCAATGAGAGCCTGGAATTTCATGCCCCATAGCTTATAATCGCGTGTCTTATTTGCAGTTGATTAAAAAAATATTTTCCCACCAGAAAATGCACAAGTAAACATTCATGGTTGTGATTTTGTGACGTGACTTCCCGAAGAATACAAAGTATTCATTTTAAAAATTGATATAAATTTTAAAGACCTTTTTTCGCGCCAAAAGTTCGATTGATTCCTGTCTGTAGTAAAAATCAGGGAAAGTTCGATTGCATTTTACGCGGTTTCAGCATGATGTTGCAATTTAAATTGATAGTTTTGCAGGCATCGCGAACAAATAATTTATTTATACTATTTCAAGGGTTTTGTCTGAAATCGACGTCTCAAAATTCAGAAAAAAATTGGGTGTGGCTGAAAATCGGTGATGAAGGTGTTAGATTATCTTGCTTCGTGCATTATTTTATTCATGGCGTATTTTTCTCATCAAAACTTCGTAATAAAATACGCTTAAGAAAATAATTTCTGTACAGCTTTGTATGACTGCATGGAATTCCGGGCTCTGACGATTTTTGTTGTTTTTCTTTTCCATTGAAAGTGAGGCTTTTGTTGAGATATTCATGGTTACTGGCCATTGATTTTGTATTGGCTTCTGCGGAACCGTTGGTTTCAGATTTCAGTGCCTTAGTGAGAGACGTCGAGGAATTGTTTTTAGAGCTATTGAGCTTGTCATGTTGAATGAGGAGCTTCTGATTTTGTTTTTTGAAAGGTTCCGAATTCAAGGGCACGCGGGCTTGTATTTTGATTTTATGCAATAATGGATTCATTTTTTGTACCAGAATGTAAAAGTATTTGTCAATGGAAGCAGAACGTTTTTAGCGGATTCATTTCTTGAAGTTTACGTGGCTGAGGAAAAAACTGCTTCTAATCTCACTCCCACCTTGAAAACTGTGATTATCTGTTCCTTTTATTTTGTTTTGCAAATTTTTTTCCAGTGTTCATGACCGTGTTTTTATGAAATCTCCAAGATTTTGTTTCAGCACCTTGTGCAATATTTTCATGGTCTTCCTGTACATTTTTGAGGTTTCAGAGAAACGGGGTCGCGTATTTTTGTTTTGATTCTGTGATGGTTTCATCGCTTTTTCCTGCTGTAGAGTGTTGTGAAGTTGTGCTTCGGGAAATTTGTTCGTACATACGTTGTGTCTTTTTTTTGCAAGGGGCGGAATGAAAAGATTTTTTTGTTTGCACTTTGGGAACGTGGTCAATTGTGCCATTTCCTGCTTTTCCTCCCTCCCCCACCTCTTGTCCTTCATTCTCCCTGCTCACCTGTATTTTTTTTCGATGGAAGGTTTTCAAGGTTAACCGGGGGAGGAAGCTTTTGTGCGAACTCGAGTCACACTCGTCCAGGTGAAATGACGAGGCTTGTCAATCTGAGAACATGAACAGGACTTTTCATTGAAGTACAGTCAACGTAATGGAACACAGTATATTTTCCGCCTCTTTTTCGAAATTCACTTTCTGCGGCTTGATTTCTCTTCTTTTTTTCGTCTTTCTTTTCTACCAAAAATCATCTCGAATTTCCCAACCAGATAAGGGACAGTCTCGCGAATGAAACAAAGACTGGGCCCGCTTTACATAATTCAGCAGGCCAATGTTTTTCCTCCCCTTTCAACACAGAGAACCACTCGACAACGACAAAAAATATGCGAATAACAAATGATGCTTGCTTGCGAGACTGCAGATATTCGTTGATCAAACTTCCTTCAGTATTTGCAAGTCGAGAAGACACTCATCAGTAACAAATCATGAAACACGGGATTGATGAAGAAAATTCTCGAATTAAAACTAACTGAAACCGCCTGTTGAATATGGAAACTGAAACTTTACATGGTAAAGAAATTCTTCAGCAGGAGAAAGTGTCTTCAAACTACATTTTTAAAATCTTCTACAGAGCAGTAGTTCCCTTCCTGACTTCAGTTGAACATAAAATGACACAATATTCATCAAGGAAGACATGAAAGTAATTACTTCTGAAATTAAATAAAACTATTTCACTAGTTGGGTGTCATGATTTTTTAACATTTAAAAGTTGGCAGAAGACGACACAGATACAATCTATATAGAAAAAGAACTTTACAAATAAAGAAAAGCGTGGGAACCACTGCTCCAGGAGTTCGATAGTCTAACCTTACTTATGTTACACTCGGGTTTCGGCAGTTCTCAGGTGAGTGATCCATTTTGCAAGCAGAGAAGATTTTGCATCAAGGGAACCCTGGTAACATTGACACAGGTGGGGTAACAGCCAGCCACTTTACACAGAAAAAAAACCGACCATGAACAATTGCCGTATTTTTTTGCAGAATATTTTCTTCGTTTCACGATAAAAAGAAACCATCTCACGCATGAGCAAAATTTCCACAAGGCAGAAAGGGTTTGCGATACTTTTGTTTTGTTTGCAACAACGACATACTTAAATTCAACAGCTAACACCTTTGCTCCGTAATTGTAAGCCTGAGATCATTGAAAAAAAGAGACCCTTCCAAAAAAAATGAAATGCTAAAAAAAGGAATGCCTCTGAAGAAGGAAGAACCACCAAGCGTTCAAAAATTCCACCAGTTGAAGCTGCCTTTGCAACGCAAAATAAAACTGTTCAAAAAATCCCCTCAAAAAATGATTTTTTGAACCCGAGGCTGCATTTTCACTTAGCCCCCGAATATTGACTGAAATCGAGACTAACCATCTCCGATTGTATCTTACAAACCCAAGGTTATGCTGAATCCAAAAAATAAATATACGCACAAACTTACTATACCCAGAAAAAAAAACAGGAATGATTCCAGTAAGTTCATATTCAGATTCAAAACTTTCTCTTGAACATTGAATACCGTGCTTCAGTATTAAAATATGATCACAAGGAGAACCAAGTTCATGAAAACACATAAATTTTAAGATTACTCAAATGGAGCAATGCCTTCAGTTTACTCTTAGCTCTCATACCGGAGAAATTTCTCGATCGTAACAAAAAAGTAGTAATTTTTTCTCTTGACAACCTGCTACGAACATAGCAATTCAAAAATAGTGCATATCTTGATACACTAGTTCAACTTGAAAAAAAAAAACCTATGAAACTGGGGACTTTAAGAGAGCTTCTCAGAGCAGTTCAGGTCCAACTGGTACTGACCAGGCAACCTCACATTTACTGTAACATAACCAAGGCTTTACAACCTGTTTGATAAATATCAATGATGATAAAGCACTTGGTACCCAACACCACATACAAACAGTGGCACCATTAACAAGAAGTGCTCATCCGTACATTCTCCTAATTGAAAGAACACCGTAAACTTACGCAAAATTGCTGATCCCAGACTAACCCAAACATGAACTCACTGGAATCGTAAACATGGTCTTATGAAAAAAGCACGTAAATTTCAGAGATCTAAAAAAACTGCTTCCAGTAAATTCATCACAGCTCTCCAAGCGGAAGCAAAGAAGACTAAGCGCAAAGAAAGGCAGGGAAAAAATTGCATACGACTTTTTCCTCTCTGCTCAGGTAGGAAAAAACAAAAAGCACATCCGGATAAAAAATATGCAGCCATCAACAACAAAATTGAACGCACTTCTTTAAAAAAAAGCGAAGAAAGAAAACCACTAGTCGATAAAACGAAGTGGCTTTTCAGGAGTGTCGCAAAAAGTACGCCTGTCTGGCTTTCCTGCGACTCCGACGAGGGAACACCTTTTTTCGCTCAGGCAACGACGACTCTTCTTCCTCCTCTTCCTCACTCTCCTCTTCGTCGCCAGATTCGTCTTCATTCTCTTTCCCTCCTCCTTCATCGCCGTTGTCTTCTGCTTCTTCTTCCGCCTCCTCTTCTTCTTCTTCTTCTTCTTCATCCTCCTCTGCTTCTGCGTACGTCACACGCGACGCCCGCACAGATGACGGGAGAGAAGAACGCAGAGATCGTTGTCTAGTGGGAGACGTCGACGGCTGCGAATGCTGGTGTGTTTGTTGTGGTGGTTTTTGTCGGCTTCGTGGTTGGCTCGGCCAACCGGTCCTGTTCGTCCTACGTTTCTTCGGACATGGCGTCGAAGGAGCTGTACCCGCGTCCAGGACCTTGTTAAGACTCTGTTCCAGCCTCGTAGCCTGATTCGGATCGATCTGTTCAGAAAAAATGTCACATGGATGATTTGAACGGGTAGAAATGCGACAAAATTTCAAGAAATTACCCATTATATTCGAATACATTCAAGTTTATACGAATAAATAGGTTCCACGACATTTAAGAAAATTACACTCTACTGCAATTCATTGAGGAAAAATCGATCCAAGTAAATCAATTTTTAATTTAAATAACAGGTGGACTCTCTTTACAACGAAATTTAAGGGACCAGAAACAAAATCGTTGCAGAGAAAATTGTCCTGTGTGCTCGAACAAGTATGACATGGGTACAGAACCGCATGGGACCGACAAAAATCGTCGTAGAGAGAGTCCACCTGCATTCGTAAAATTGAAATAATTAATCGTCTGAAGATCAAATGAAATTTTTATCCGATCGCCTTCGCACTCCGTTCAAAACAGTAATTTGGTTGCTACAGTCATTCGACTAAATTTACACCAACGAAATTAGACTTGGATAAAGTTGGAAAAACGATTAGAAAACGTGACACAAACTCTTCATAGATCTAACCTCAGACACGCGGGGCTCATCTTCGGCAGTTTCCAGACTCCGCAGCGCTTCCCTGAATTCCTCGGCAACAGTAGGTGACACTTCCTCCAAGAACTGCTTCACACTGATGACTTTGGCCGCACGCATAGAAGGGTCGTCCTTACAGCCGCCACGGGATGCCCCGCGGCGGCCTCGTTGCTGATGATACTGTTGAGGATCCGGCTTTCGACTACCCTCGTAAAACTTTCCCGTCACCGGGCAGTAATTGAACCCGAACGATGGCGCAATGACACCCACCAAATCCAGGTCGTCGTTGCTCACCTGGGTAAATCGAGAGGAAATCAATGACGGTTATTCATCAAAACCACACGCTACTTCAAAACTTCAAAGATTAAGGCGGAAACGGAACAATGAATCAACGAGAGGCTTAAAAAAAATTAAGTTGATTTTCTTTTCACAGAAAGAACAAACTTGAAACACAGCAGGTACTTGAGAAACTTACATTATCCTCTCCGCCTCGATCAACCCATTTGATAAATTTTTTCCAGATCACTCAGGTTTTTAAACAAAAATTTAAAAAATCTGTGAATGCGTATGCCAGAAAAGCAAGATCTAATTGATTTTGGAGAGATCTGATGTGAAAAATTGTTCAAGAATTAAATTTGAAAATCTTGTTATAAAAAATTGTTCAGTGTTACAAACTTTTCTGAAGTCCCAAAAAGTTTGTTTTAACGAGATTTTTACTTCACCTGTTCAACCTGGCCAACCAGCGCGTGCCCGAAAGCTTGGACGCCGTTTTCCGCCGGCGGCGGTCGTCGAAACCCAGCCAACTTGGCCTTGTCCGGCGACGAGCTGAAACTCGACTCGGCGCTGCTGCCGCCCGAATCATCGTCAATCCGTCGTCCCGCAGACAGACTCTCCACCGCCCTTCCAGCTCGCACCGGCGACATTTCGTCCAACAACATGCCGACTGTGCTCGCGTGACACCGGGGACTCTTCCGGGTGCCGCCCTTGAGGCGGCGACGTGGACGAGAGGGCGCCTCTTCGTCATCGACGCCATAGTCTTCTTCTGCTGCAGATGTTTCCTGGAAGGACACCGTCCGTGCGGCCCGTTGGATTCGACTCCGGAGCACGTCCGGGTGCAACTCGTGCGGATACGCCGGGAACACGTACTCAGTGTCGTCCCCAGGCGGGAAAGTATCCAAGTCCGAGTACCACAAACGGTGATTGTCCTGCGGGAGATGAAAACACTTTTTCATGAAAATTCTCGTTATAATTTCAGAATGCATTATTTAAAAAAGAAAGAGCAAGAATTCCCCCCCCCCCCCAAATAACCCGGAACTGACTTGCTCATTAATGGATGCACTTGACCAAGCACGAAAACCGAGAACACAAGAGTGATTATTTCCACAAAAAAAAAACGCGGACTCTTTTCACAATGATCTCGTCTACAACGATTTTCTCTGCTAACCAATTTTTAATGATCCCATAAAGGCATACGGTTCTCTATACATTTTACAGGGGTTCTCCACAACGAAATTCTCTCAACAAGGAATTTTCATCAGGTCCCATAAAATTGCATTATAGAGAGAGTCCACCTATATTTATTTTAACCTTTCCATCGATTTATTGTTACTTTTATTTATTTACTGTAACTATTATTCATTGATCACGTTTATTTAATTTTAACCGCTTGACGCCTCAAGCACACAACCATCTACTTAGCTTCATCTTGTTACGATGTTAATTATCAACATGTTTAGCAACGTTTGTCGTTGGAAATGAAAAGAACCGAAGCCCAGAAAGTGTGTGATCCAAGAATTGACCCTCACATGAAAAAATGTACACCGATATACATCGATATTTTAAATTTACCGTTTTCGCGACAGTAAAACTCAGCGTAAACAATACAGTACTAAAAATTCGCCTGAAGAGCTTCGCCAAATAAATTTCTTCCAAGAAGGCGCCAGACGAGACAAAAAGTGCGAGAATCGCACTTGTGTTAACGATGCAAGCAACACTCTCCCCAGCATGTCAGAGCCCAGAATTCAGTATTCATCAATGAAAAAGGATACACTTGAGCATTTTCCCAAACTGACCGTCGCAGACGGCTGTCCCGCATCCACGATACAATCGCTCCACGCCTGTTGTTGCGTGAAATTCGGGGAATGCGGGATCCCCGACTGGAACGTGTATCCGAGGCCATCGACAGAAAACGAGCCAACTTCGCACACGTCGTCGTCCTCCGTCTCCACCTTGTCAAGTCCGTCTTCTTTGGCTTCCAAGACTGTCGCAAATGATGTTGTCGTCGTCGTTCCACCGCCGCCGTCTCGTGCCCCAGCCAGCACGCTCGACGACGTTGGCGACATCAGTAGGTCCGTCACGCACACAGAGAGCGGTTTCGTCACGTCACCCGTCGACCGATTCGGGCTCAGCGACCCCGCCAACGTGTACCTGCCCACATCCGATGAACTATAAAGAGTGAATGACATGCTACGGATTTAAAAAAAACAACGCCACAATTTCAAACATCGCTATAAAGAAAAATGTAAAAAACATCACGATACATTTTTTAACATGAAGGTCTTCCAAAAATTACCACAGCTGTTTCCAACGATCACTGGGATCATTTTTTCATCTGAAAAACAACTTGATCAACAATCTTCCATCATTTTCAACGCGTCACTTAAATTTATACGAGAGCCAATCGATGTTCAGCTCATCTTTCACTCCCCATTATTAGAAGGTAACAACAGATGGATTAATATTAGACTAAGTTATTTTCTGCATAAAACCTCGATCATTTCATCGAAATGATTTCAATTTTCGCCAATTCAAGTTGATGCGAAGAGAATGAGATGAAAAAGCACAAAATTTGTATCAAAAAATTTACACTACACACTTGCCTATAATTTACTAATTTATCTCAATTTTCCACATTGTTTCAATTAATTCTCGATTTCCAGCATTTATTAGAAACCAGTTGAGAGAATATTCGAAAGAATTACAATTACGATGACTTTTGAGGTGAACTTACAAAAAGCTTCTGGAAAAAGCACTCTCAGATTGGAATTTTGAAAAATTGAACAATGAAAATTAGATTTCAAGCCACGCGGAAATGCTGCAGAAATACAACTGACCCATTTTTCAAGGCATGGTCCGTTTGGGCACGGCTTTCACCCAGACCCAAACCCATGATGGACCTGTTCTCCTCAAGGAGACTTTCGACTTCACTGCGACGTTTCTTCCCCGTGGCATGGTCGACAGTCCAATTGCAACCCCCACCGGCATTGCTGAGTCTCAAGCGCATGTGACGTCCTTGGTTCTCTCCCTCATCCCCACTCGGGCTACGAAGAAAAAAGCGACGGATGTGCATAAAATTAAGGTGAATCTACAGGTATCACAAGCCAAGAAGAAATGCAATTAAATTCGATAAACGCATCCTCATTTAATTCGTCGGGAATTTTTCTGGGATAAAAAACTGATTTGGCCACTCCGGATGTTTCCCTTCAGTTCCTTTATTAAAATCAAGAATCACTGTTTCGCTTTGCTAATTTTTCGGTTCGTATGCTTTTCTTGAAAAAACGCTGCGCCACGTTCGGCCGCTATAGATTTTTCCAACAGCTTCTCCATTAAAAATCAAAGCCTCATTGGAAAAAAGATTCAAATTCCGTAATTAATTTTGCTAAAAACTAACACCACCTGCTATTTTTCGAAAAAAAAAAAATGACGTACAGTATTATTGAATCATACCTTTTAACACAGCGTTTGAAGTCTCCACGTTGTCGTCGAGGTGATGCTGTCCTTTCATCATCCTCCTCGTCCGAAGTCAGTGCATATCCATTTGTGCAACTCGCGTCACTCGACCTCAACCGAATTGATATCGCACTATTCTTCGTTTGCTACAAATAAAAACGAAGAAATGCAGTTCAAAAAATGCATCTACCAGAAAAATTTAATGATTACTTTGATTGTTTACAAAAGTTTTATTTATTTTCGTTCAGAACACTTCATACTTTACGACGGAATTTTTCAAGAGAACTGGAATGGATTAAGACATTTTTATGGCTACAAATTACTACAATCGGTTGAGGGCATTTTTTCGCAAGGTCTCGAACCAGTTAGCCAGATTATACGGCTTCATATTAATTGAGAGATCAATTTTCGCATCATGGAATTTTCAGAACGGAATATGTCTATCAATAGCTTGTTCTATCCTCGCTGGAGCATTAAATCTTCTCCGCCTTTGAGGCATGAGAGAGTAGAAAACTTCTTTCAACAATAAAAAAATAAAACTAGCGAACCGAACCTGATAAGACACTTCCACCTTCCGGCGCTTAGGAACGCCACCGCCCGGCTCAAAGCCGGACTCTGAGAATTTCCTGGACCTGGTGGAAGGACCGCCAGAGTCAATAGCTGTCCCATTGACACCTCCGCCATTCTGGTGCGCCACAGCCACACGGCGTCCTCGCAAATGTTTCGAGTCGACATCTTCTGTCGGCTGCAGGAAGACCAAGAAGAAATCGAGACATCAATCAACCGAAATGGCCTCAAATTTAAAATACTAATCGAACATGATCTGAGCTATCGACAAAATGTTAATTCCGCGGACAGGTTCAACAGAAGGAAAAGAATGGGTCTAATGACATCATCCAACTTCAATTTCCACAAGTTTCGCGCATCACCGACCACCAGAAAGTATCGTTAATCATTTAAAATCCCGAGAGGGTTTAAAATAAAACAGCGGATTCTGTTGACGGTTCTAGGACAGCACCGAAGACCTTCTTCTACCGTCGCCATGGCCCAAAAATTAAAATAAATTCCCGGCTCTTTCATTTTCACGTGCTCACACAAACCAGAGCGGAAGCGGCGGTTGCCCGTGCCCTGAAGCAGTAATTAGGAGCCCACGAGTGCTGCTGGCCCATTCTTCCAGAGTTCTCCAACCTCATCCCGCAACTCACCACACTTATCTACCAGGAAGGCAAAACTTGACAAATACAGTACTGTATTACCCTCCAAAAACACAAAAACGTAATTAATTATCAATTTTGCACAAAATGTATCCTATACTGAAAAAAACATTGAAAAGAGGAACACATTCGATGGAACTTACTCGGACCACGGAAGCACATCGAACTTTGCAGCGGATATTCCAAAAAGGTTTACGCGCATTTACAAAGATTGCACACAGAAACAAATAAACCCTAGCTTGTACTTTACTTTATTGATGTTCATGCACAGACACGAGGAACCAGAAAGCCAATTAAACCCGAGATGATCGAGCGTAAAATTAAAACGCTTTCGTGAACATCAATGACATCCAATCACATCAAGACAATTCGCCATTTATGGATAAATATTTTTCATCTCATTGACGGAAAACTTCCGGGATTAAGTAATAAAAAAAAACCAAAGCATCAGAATCGGTGGTAAACCAGCAAGACGGAAAGGTCATCGTCTGAATTTCAAAATTTCCGCTTAAGAAACAAACATTTTAACAATTGCTGAGAGCTGACCCAACATTCAGATCTGCAGCGGGGGTCGCAGAAAGCAAACAATAAAAGCTGAAGACTAATCGAGAACATCCAGTACTGCATAGCTCTATTCGAGAAATAAAAAAATGCTATAAATCTTCCACGATGAAAGCATGCATAGAACTATAAAGTTCGATTGATCGAGGCAAACTTAGACAAATATACGAAATCTACCGCCGATGCTAATCTTAGGGCAGTATGTTTGAAGTTTGAGTTCACACCGTTATGAAATACACAACGTCAAATACAGACACGCGAGTCATTTTAACCCGCTGTGATCATACTCTGACTAATCTGGATTTCAAAAATATTTTTTCTTTCCCCAGGTAGGATGAAAACATGTTTAGGCCTTCCGACCACATCACGACATAAATCACCCCTTCTTCCCCTCTTCCTGTCTATCCATCGAGATCGTTACTCACGGAATCGATGCCGTCAAACTCGCCGCCGTTGTCGCCGTGCTGGTCGTCCGTGGCGTCCTTGTGATTCGTAGACGCAGCAGCGGACAACCTCCTGGGACGACAGTTGTTATTGCTGTTGGCACAGACTCTTTCGTAAAAGTGGGACACGGTCGGGGCCGATGCAAAGGCTCTTCGGACTCGAGCAGACTTGAGGCCAGTCGGTGCAGTAGCACCACTCACGGTTCCACTGGTGCCGGCTACAGTGGCTGCCGCCGAAGAACGGTGTCGGGACGATGCGACGTGCTTAAGGTAGTCAGTAAAGTTGATGCGGCAGTAGTCGCAGAACTGGCGGCGGATCCGCCCACGCGCCGCCGCCAGCCCGCCGCCGGGCTCCTTCGTTGACAACGGCGTCACAGCTGCGCCGTCCGTCTTCCCCGACCTGCAGAAAAACGATAGAAGATAGAATTTTCGCACCACCTAAAATTCGAACATTTTTCTGTCTTTCTTTTTGCAATAAAATCGCGCTTCAACAATTATTCGAATCCAAATTATCAGACGCTCACGTCCACGTCAACATGCTACGCAAAGAAAGTGTACTTATTTTGTACACTGATCAGAATCTTCAACACAGGTGTGTATCATACGCACATTTTTGTCAAAATTGAAGAGAATGAGTGCTAGTCTTGGGAAAGCATAACATTTTTCAAAATTTTAAACGCTTTGGTTCACTTCGTACTTGATTTTAAGGTTTTAACAGGGAATTTTGAACCAATTTAAATTATTACACCGAGTTCACCCATTAGGCAGCCTGAGTGTAATCATGAATCGTTCGCTTTAATTACGGGTATGTACGCACAGGATCGATTAAATGCGAATAGTTTTCCTGGAGATGATAGCACCTACTTCTACATGACTTCAGAAAACTAATGCACTAAAAAATAGCGTTAAAATCCGCGACTATTCAATGGCCATTCGTGGATGAACTCACGTCGAATCCGTTCGCAGCCTGGCGTCAAGTCCGGGATACAAAATAGGGTACTTCAGTCTAGCCGCGTCCTTGATGTCGCACCAAACAGACGCCCCGCGACCGAGAGCGTTGCCCAGGTTGAGAACCGGCACTTTCTTCAGCTCTCGCAAAGTTGGTCCAGACCACCTAAAACATTTGAGATGCAAAATGCTACAAAAACTGGAATCAATGCTTAAACCTTTATCTTTATCTTTTAAATTCAGTTTACGTAGGAATTGGTTCTAAATTTACTCTTGGAATCAAATATTACGCAAGCCAAAGCTTTCAAGATTTTTGAAAAAATGTCATACTTGCGCCGGAAAAAACGCACGCTCTTCATTTTCTTTTCACATTTTGACGATAGGTATATTATATTTCGATGCACTTACGCGTGCATTTATACAGACAAAAATAATGACATTTTAAAGGCACATCAGAATTTTTGGACAACCTCTCTTTTTGTCAGAAAAATTTCGGGCATTAATCGTCTCTCTCTCAAAGATAGCTGATAAACCAACCATCTGTTGAAATACCATTAAAAAAATACGTGGGTCAATCAGTTATTACCCTCTGGCATCCTGGAACTTGATAAACGGACTCTCGAGCTTTCTTCGCTTTCCGTCCGACCTCAAACACGGTCCGACGTTCACCAGCCCGTGCTTGAGACGCAGCTCTGACAAATACTTCAAAACCTTCGAAAATACGGGACCAACACTCAGTCAAGACGAATTAATCAAATGAGACACACAACTTTACTAACCCAAGCAAGTGGCCAAACAGCGACTCCGTTTTTGCGCGCCCGCTCTAACACCTTGCTGTCAGATCGCTTTCTTTCGTCTTCTCGCCCTGGTTTCCTGCTCTCTTCGTCTTTGCTCAGACGGGACAAGATCAATGCACTCCTAGTACCCTAAAGAACAAAATAAGGTCATACCTAGGCTATATCCACAGAAAAAACCACGGAACTTACGAAGGTTCTAGAGGAAACGGAGGGAGGAGGCCTCGGGTGAACTTGAGGCACACTACGTTGTTGCTGCTCGTAGTTGAAAGAGTCGTGAGCAGCTTGATATCGCCTGATACGGGCCGGATCTGCGTGACTTCGCCACCAATCCTCGTACGCGTCTTGGCTGTCGGAGATCACGCAATTCACCTTGTCCGAGAAGAAGTCTTCGAAGTGCTGGAACATGAAAGTTCATTAGCCATGAAGCTTCAGGTAGCAACTGACTACTACTATGCGTCCAATTTTTAAAAATTGTTTTCCAATCAACAGAGAACTTTCAGAGGATACTAACCGCCCCAAGCTGTTCCAAATCAGCTTGAAAAAACGCAACTTCTTTATAGTGGTTCACTTCGAGGAATATGTTTCTTCCGGCAAATAATTGTGGGGTATATTGCTCCTTCAGACAACCTTCATAAGCGTCTTCTGCAATTTATAGAACAGCTGATTATAGCCGTATTCGAGTAATTAGTAAATATTGTCTACCTTTATAGGCGCTGGACTTCCGACCGTCGTTCAACTTAGCATAGCGGTTCGTAAACGAGCAAGTGCTGGCCCTACTCCTAGACTTGTCCGCAGTTAACATCACCAACAATTCGGCAGCCAGAATATCACGCTCTTGGCGCGGGGAGAAGCGAGAACATCGGAAAGAAATGATCTGATCACTCCACTTGCCGCGCAATGTGCGACGGTTGCACAGTAGATTCCCCAATGAGTCAATTCACATTCATCGCGAGGTTTGACACAATCGTCTTTTATTCACACCGCTGAAGAAAGGATACAGTCATGACAATAACTCCAATAACCAATTCAACGTCCAAAAACGTGATGAAGGAGAGGGAAACGGAAGAAAGCTACGAATTCACAGCGGTCATGAGGACTAAGAATCATTGCTCCTCGAAATGTCAAAACATTATACTCAAGTTTTCTATAGCCTAACCACGTTCACAAAAATAACCATCTTCAATGATCAGCGCGATTTCACCGATCATTTCATCGTGATCTAAGTTTCGCCGTTAGCGGATTTGATTTCCTTCCTCACGTCCGAGCGAAACCGAAAAACATAGTGAACGAACCTAGACGTTACACCTAGTAACTTCCGTGTGGAAAAAGTGAACGGCAGAGAGTCGCGCGCCGGTTTCTGCTTAACGGCTGTATACTACCAGCTGCCACCCACAACCAAGCAGGTGAACAACGAAATTCATGGCATTTATCCATTCATACTAGAACTGCAACGAGTGCAGTGATCTAGTTTGACTCCTCCTTTGTAACCTGTGATATTCATGAAAGGCTCCTATGTGAACCCAAGCAAGAATTAATACTGTATTCGCGAATGCGTAGAAGGACCGACATCTGGTGGAGATGATGTAACCCTATTCCTCCAAAATCCAGAAGTTATTGCCTGTTAATCCCACCTCAGATTCTGAGGGAGTGATCTTCAATCTTTCATATGAATTCTGATGTACAATACTTTCTCTGGAGTAACTATGTACTGTACGTAACTTAAACTCATTCCCTTCAGTACCACACCCACATTAAATGCACACGTAAATTCAAATTCGGTTGTTCTCATAGTTGAAATACAGTATTTCCGTTATTAAATCTTCAAAATGGGGTGAAAATATTACTCAGGGATATAATTTTATCAATACAGTATTTTTGACTGAAAAGCCAGGTTTCAGGGAAGACAAAAAAATGAAGTTCCACTCCTCCAAGGTATATTTTCTGCCCACAAGATCAACACAGACAAGCTTGATGAATAATACCGCTTACAATGCGACTTGAGGCTTCTCCAGTTGATAAAAAAACTTGACCATTTCGTCAGCAACACAAGTGAACGTAAAATTTTTTTGAATCAACGGAACTTAAAAACAGCTCAGGATTACAAAAGAAAAATCAAATCTTCATCACAAGAGAAGTCTTTCTAAAATTTACGGCATACCGGGATTTCGGGGCTAAGCTTCACAGCCCGAGCACACAATTCTTCAACTGAGACGAAAAAAAAAAAAAACAGGTCACAGATCAAAATCACGCTTGGCTCTTAACAAGCAGGGAAAAGAAACCAACGAAGAGAAACAGATAAATATTCTTCTTAAAACGGTTGTGGAGAGCCTGCTGGGAAACTCACAGGCGTTTTAGAACTACAGTACTCAACACCGAACTTCAAGATATGCCTCGACCTGGACAGGGAATTTCACGTCAACGGAGCGAACTTTTCTCCAGAACATCAACAGGGTACCGGAAACTACGCGATCGGAAATAACCACAAGCATAGAAATCGCGATGAAATCTCTACCCGTTCGTACCAAGCAGCATTCCTGTAACTTTTCTTTTGCATGGGAGGGAACCACGTAAAGAAGCAACAACAAAAAGATAAGATCGCATCAAGTCAGTTGGTGCGAAGAATCAAATGCACTCCAGATTCAGTGAAAACTGGCTCACTCAGTTCCCCGACTCTGAGAGCAAATGCGGCTTCTTCGAAGGGCTTTTGCATGGCTCCTCGTCCGAACGGACCCAAATCACCGCCACGTTTGGCAGAAGAACAATCCGAATGCACGGACGCCAATTCCTCGAATGTTGCCGACTCTGCATCCAACTTCTCACGGAAGCCTGTAATAATTTCATTGACTTAGAGGCGGATTCGAAGTTGAAAAAAAGAAAATTCAGGGAAACCCGATTCAAGTTCATGTCATGAGAGCAGAAGTTCGTTACCCACACACGATACTGTCATTCACGCATGAAACTCCGACATTCTGATTCAAAGCAGGATCAAATCATAAGCGAGAATATAAGAAACGTATTTTTCTAATATTGACTAAAATAATCGAGATCTGTCTTTAATCCACGGGGTCTGTAGCCATTTTACATGAATTAAAATTAGTGAGAATTACCGGTATACAGTATTGAAATTAAATTAAAATATAAGATGCACTTTTTTCTCCTTCTCGACTAAAAAAAGTCGTGGTATGTCTCGAAGTCCGTAACCCATTTCACAGGAAGTAAAATCCGCGAGCATTTTTCTCTATTGAAATAATGGGACGGTTCAAAAATATGCAACCCATTCATCAACACAAAATAAAGCTCAGGTTTAAGTTTGAAACGTGAACTAAACTGGACAAGGAAAACCAAAAATTCGGGGATCGAAATTTGAGAAAGCAGATCTCAAACTTTCCCACTTTTACAACTCAAAGAAGAGCCTGAACAAATTGTCATGTGTGTCAAAGAACCTTTGATAAGCTCCAAAGCTTCGTCTCTGGTCCTCGTGATGTTTTCTTCTTTCCAGGACGATGGCCTGCGAGAGTCCCTGTGCTTCACCAGCAAATGGGAACACTGGACCTTTTCAGAGCTCGGCTGCTTTGCTGCCTCTGTGGGGGCATCCCACTGACTATCCTTAGTGTAAGTGTTCAGGTAATAAGTTTGCCCTGGTATAAGAAAAAAGTTCAGGACAACTTGTTACAGAAACATGCACGCCATACGCTGTCATCCGGTAATTCCCAAACAGAAATTTCTCAAAGCAGATATAAATAAGGAAAGTCTTACATGACCAACAACTAAGAAATTAAATTTCACATGAAGAGAGTAATATTGACTGGCACTAGTTCACAGAAGTTCTTTTTTTTCCTGTCCACAGGACATTTTATCCAGCAAAATAAATTCATCAGCCATATTGCTGTAATGAAGTACTATTTTTATCTAAATTTTTGGAAAGATCATGGCAGCTGAAATTATTTGATGAAAAATAGAAGCTGGATTTTCTCCTATAAACACTTCCGACAAAATTTCACCTGGTGAAATACATTATTTCGAGTAATCATTCTGAGAATATTTCATTGAAGCCCAGCTTTCTAATTTTTTGAAGACATTCCACTAGAGCTGCTTCACTGGGTCTTAATTATAATAATAAAAGCTTTGGTTGGAGTTGCTGGTCTGCAAACATTTCATGGAATTTTTTATTTTCAGCCCTTGGTTGGGGAACACTAGATTAGAATATTGCTCATATTACAGAAGGCGTCGGTTTTCTGTCACTTGCTTCATGATTAGACCAGAATTTTTAGGAGGCATACAACCGAACACTGTTTTTTTGAGGGCATGAAATTTTAAGCCACTCCCAAAAATCTTGCTAAACAGAACCCCTCTTCTCACCTGTTGAGCGACTAACCCGCTTTTCCCATCCAGGGGGCAGCACTTCCCCATCACTCATGTTTCTTAGTGCAGACTCTTACAACCACAAAAGCGCATAAAATCTCGAACTGAAATGATCAAGTTTTCAGCATTACGTCAGTGGGGTGCCAAAACTCATCAATAATCATCACGAAGAAAATCATTTCACAGTTTGATTCACGTCGAATAAAAATATAGCAACCAAGTTTCAAGCAACACAAATCAGCATGAGACGGAAGCTGAATTGATACCGGATTGGACATCTCAGTCCCGAGCATATAAAACGGTACGAGAATACATCATCCCCAAAAATATTGCGTTCGAAACTTGCAGAAATGATCACCAAACTCAAACGCGCATACAAAAATGCAACAAAATTTTTAAAGCGGACCAATGACTAGCTAATACTGCACCACGTCCTACCCAAACATCACATTAAAGTACAGAAATGAGATACAACGCATCCAACGACTAGTTTCCCGTTCTGAGAGTTCGTTTCACAGCCATGCTTTACGAAAACTGGCCCGGCTTGTTCAAAACTTGAATATCTTCGCCATTTAGCAGACGATCCGAAGGACAAGTAGCTTCTAGAAGACACATTTTCCTCTTCTTTCAGCCTCTTCTATGAAGGTGAAAACGAAGATTACAGCGAATCCATCAGCCTTTGAAAAATTTTATTGCAGTGCATATCCAATGTCCACAGCGAGAAAACCGACCTTGATCAGTGTCCAAGCAGTATCCTCGAAATTCGCTGGGTCAGCTTCACAGAATGATTTATCAAGATTATCTAAAACACTCCTCCCGTCTGCACTTTCACACATCTCGGAGTCATTTTCTGAAATTTAAGAAAACTTTTCAAAACACAAGCAAGAAATGGGGAGATGAAAGAAAATAAAGGACAATCTCAAATCATAACGTCAGATTTCCACAATTCCACACAAAATGATCACCGAACTCCAGGAGAAAACATTCGTCAGAAACTTACAATCACAATTGAAAAAAAAAAAAAACACTCCCGTTTCTTCGAAAAAATCACGAAATTGGCATCCTCTTCGAACAATTTAACGCAGGAATTTCAATCAACTTTCGTCATGATTAGGAAATCTAGTCATCGAAAGAAACAGCGAAAATCACGGTGTCATAAAATTCGACTCAACGTCAAATACTGTAAATAAAAATACCAGGATACAGTACTGTACTCGAAATGCGATATCTCCACAAAAACGTCGGGTGGACTGACTTGTCAAGATAATACTCGAGAAATTCGTCACAAAAAAGGAGGACTGGTGTAGGTATTCACAATTTTGGCACCGTTTTTCTTCGTGGATCATCAGTAGAGCAGAATCCGTTTCTCGACGATTTCGCGACAGATCGGACACTCGGACATTTGGTCGCCGCACATCTGACAGGCACCGTGTCCGCAGAGAAAAATCATGTTTTTCAGTCGGTCGAGACACACGGGACACATGGTTTGCTCCTTTATGTCTTGCAGCTGTTGTAATTTGTCAAAATCCGCGTTGTGAGTCTCACGTCTTGTTTGTTGCTTGAGGCACTTCCGGTACCCCTCTTCCACAACACTCCGCAAAACTCACAACCTACAGTGGAAATGCGGACATTAATTGACAAAATACCACGCATTCTGAAAACGCTAGGTAGTTTGCTGGTGTGCTGTTGTCCTAGACGACGACTACTTCTTCGGGGCTTTCAACCGTTCGGACGGTGCCAACGTGATCTTCTCTGCCGTCCTGTTTGCTCCATTTCCAGTGTGGACCACGGATGACGCGCGTTCCGACTCCGTCCACGGTCGGGAGAAGTTTGGAGGCATTGGCGAGGGCCATACAACAAATCAAATGCTCACAGTCACTGTTGCCATCGATTTCCAGCGAATAAGGTTCTCATGATCAATAAAAAAAAGTATTGCAACCGCACTAGCCCAACTCCTTCGTTCCTTCAGCAATATATAGTTCTATAGGTCATGAGTGACACCCGTTCACCACACAACCTTCCACTATGAACAGAATCTTGCACGCCACGCTTGCCAGCGCCACTTGCTCTCAGAGCCACCGATGTCTTTCGGTGAGTGGCTTCAAATGCTAAAACTTGGCAGTTTAGATTCCGGGAAGACTTCAACGTCTTCTAGGGCAAAAAAAAGAAAATATGGCACTTATTATAAAAATTAAATAAATGGCGCACTTCAGGTAAGGTCATTTTAGACTTTGATGGAATATTTTATTGTCTTCCTTCAGTAATTTCAACTTGAAATTAAGCTCAACTTCCCCACCCCCATACCCTATTCATGAAGCCACTCATTCATGGAAGAGGGAGTGAAGGTAAATAGCCCCCTAGGAGAGAGGAATGGAAGTGAACGGCGGTGATTCAAAAACTATGCTTTAACGTCCAGGCAGCAGGCACCGAATGCAGCAGGATCCCAGATGTTTCGGATCTTGACGGGTTGGAGTTTTTAAGATGCTGGTGCATGAGTAATTACGATGGGCGAAGTGAACGTGTGATTTGCCGACCAAGTGGCAGGAGTAGATGATATGCATGCAAAATTCCTTCTTTCTATTATGGCTTCCAGCATTTCTCTATAGTCATTGTAGACATTTGTTTTGAAAATACAGCACTCGCTGTGTTAAACTTCGGATGCCTGATCTTTCGGAATTCAGCGTGAAAAAGAAATTTCAGAAAAACAGGAGACTTGAATCACGATTGCACCATGGATGTTTTTCTTGGTCTAAGAGTAAAGCTTCATATTTTTCCGTTGCGATTCTTTTCTGCCTGGCCTGACTTGTGCAAGGACACGCTCAAGCTTTCAGTCGCAGAACAATGAAAATAAGAAACCACGACGCCCCGCGATAAAAAGTCGAAGTTTGACAAACACGCCATCCATTCACTGTTCGTAGTCTGTCGTCGTCACAATAACAAGCTTCAGACGCAATGTTACGCACATTCTTTGTGTTACTACTCAGTGTTTCTGCACTTAAACGGCGAACGATTTTCGCCGCTGTTCCAACAGGCGAATTGTACCCGACTTCGGGAACGAACCTCGCCTCTTGTGTGGACTGCAATTCCCCGCAAATAGATTTCCCGACGACGTTCTACTTTTACAATTCCCCAAAAGCATTCGGCTTTGTCAACAACAATGGTGGGATTACATTTGCCAGGTCTTCGGCTACTTTCAACGAGTTTTGTGGGACGCCTAGTTCGCAAACCTTCCAGCTCATTGCTCCTTTCTGGGCCAGAACAGACACAACCAAGGGAGGCACGGTCAGTTACCAAGTCACTCAGAGTGCAACTGTTTTGGAGAAGGCAAAAACTGACATTTCACTCGCCTTCCCTGGAGCTAGCGGTGAGTAATACATGTACTCATACAGTATTTCAAATATCAATTTATGTTTGGAATTCCTGATGAAAATGGCAAAAATAGTCGCTATGATGAGTTTTCTGTTTGGATCCTTAAATATTTTCTAAAAATACAGAATTTTTTTGATTTTCAATTCATTCCTGTTGATCTTCTGCTGCAGAAGATTACATTTTGTTACAGTGTTGGATTTTTAAATTCCTGCAACTTTTTAAAAATTGTTCCTAAAATCTCCAAGTTGGTGTTGAGTCTTCTGGGATCCCTATATTTTTTGGATGCACCAAATTTTAGAGGTTTTCATTTCACTCCTGCTGTATAAGATTACACTACAGTAAATATGTAAATTCAGTGACAGTTGCTCGACCTTACTAATTAGTCAAACCTCCCCAAGATGAAAACCCATATGCATCAGAATGATTCCTTGAAATATGGGCTTAAAATCAATGCATTTCAAGTCTCTTTAACTCGAAACTTTTGGGTCAAAGTTGAATCTTCAAACGTTTTCCTGTGATTAATTTTGAGGTAAACTATAAAACACAAACACGCGTTCGAACCAATCAAACAAAAACCCCTGCCTGAATTTCCCTCAAAGATCCCGAACATAATTCAAAAATATTGCAAGCAGCATTGCTACCTTTTGAAAGTAACTCATCGGTTTCAAAACACAAATAATATACAATTTGATGAATATTTACATTCCAGGGTTCAACCTGCGATGGGCACTGGTGGTTACTTGGAACCAGGTCAGAGCTCAATCGGCTATCTCTGGCACCAACACTTTCCAGACTGTTCTGACCACAGATGGAGTCAACTCATTCGTCATTTATTATTACAACAATATCGGCTGGGCGAAAAACTCAGACGCAGCTTTTGATGCCAGAGTTGGGATGGACCTTTTGGACGGAAACGCTGATCACAAGTTGAACTTGGCTGGATCTTGCACCTCATCTATTTCCAAGTGAGAAATATCGTACTCCTCTTCACTCTTACAGAACATCCCCATGTTGTATCTTATTTTTCCAAAGACTTCAATGGGAACTTATTTAACAAAAATTGGAAATAAATCCCCAAATAATTTAATAAGAAGTGCAGAAGAAAGCCATACAGAATCAGATCTTCTGACCACAAAAGCAAAGAATACAGTGGCCCCCCGCCTAACAGACCTCCCGTGTAAGGGATTTTTGCCNGGGAAGTACAGTGGCCCCCTGCCTAACAGACCTCCAGTGTAAGGGATTTTCACCAAACAGACCAGCTCTGCAAGCAGTTTTTCCTTCCCGCCCAACAGACAAAATCCGCCAAACAGACTTCTTTTGGTTTAAAATTGGTGTTGAAAATTGAAATTTTAAATTTTTATGTAATTGAATTTGTATAAAGGACTTTTTGTCTAACAGACTCGTCCCTTGCACAAATCAAGTCCATTAGACGGGGGTTGACTGTAATAAGTTAAAGTCTTGGTATACAGTGTACAGACAATGGAGAATACTCAACAAAAACACACAATCAGCATTTTTTTGGATTTTAAATTTGAGTTTATTTGCGATAGAAATTCATTTTCAACTTTTATAAACACACTTTTTCCAAGAGATATCAACATTTTGAGAAATAAAAATTTTACATATATCTAGAAATGTTGGAAAAGTGTCCATATATGTTGAGATGCTTTCCTGATGTTGGGTCAGATTTTTTCAAAGTTTCAAGTGTCCCTGTAAGACAAATTGTCCATATGTTGGGGTCTCACTGCATGTGCACAAAAATATATGGAAATGTACTGTACTTTTCTTACAGCATCGCTAGCCAATCCAACATTGATTCCCCCGGGAAGTTCGTCTTCAAAGTGGACGCAGTGAGTGCAGTACAGCCCAACGACTGCTCATCAAACGCGTACAACAATAACATGTCAACGTCCGTTTCACCATCCAACGTGGGCTTGTACGGCGGGGAATTGGTAACACTGTCGGACGCCTGCGTGGACATCACGAAGACCAACGTCCGATGCGCCATCGACGATCCAATGGGCAGTGGTCTCATCTATGGTACTGCTAAGGCTGTTGATGCGTGAGTATTTATATACCGTATAGATATTCAGTCAAACCTCTTATTCAAGTTGAACTTCAAGATAACCATAGAAAAACAAATTGTGTTGAGGTTTCTAGTTAGACTAGAGGGAAACAAGCATTTTTGTTTGGGAAGGAAAAAAATAATTTTTAAATGCTGATATTCTGGGCCTTGAATTGCTTTTTAAATGAGTCGACTGGAGGCTGAACTTGGAGACAAGGGTTCATTTGCACAATTACCATATTTACTCAAATAACAGGTGCACATTAAAAGAAATTAGAGGAAAAATGGGATGTAAATGAAAGAGGATTACAAATGTAAATTTTTAAAAGTTTACGTATGCATGAAATTCGTTTTCATATGATACATTTTGGACACATTTCAACAGAAAGAATTATTGCAATAGAAATAAAGTAATTTTAAAATTAGTTGAATGCAGGAACAATTCATGTCTAAATTCAAATTTGGGTGTTTGTAGTTTTCAAACACTGCAGTTTTAGAGTCACTAAAATGAAAGTTAAATCTTACTTAGGGATACAATTTTATAATATTTTGACAGAAAAACTGTGGTTTTACTCAAGGGAATGTGGTATTTGAGTAAATTATGGAATAGTCTTTCACTTCTGAAAGATGAGATTCATTTTGAATTTTTGTAAATATAATTATTGTACTTACTTGAGTACCATGCATCCTCAAGCATGACAGGCATCCCAGTTTTTTTATCCAAAATTATTGATGAAAATCTATCCCCAAGTAAAATGCACACCCACTTTTTAATGGTTGAAAAACTACAGCACTTTAAAAATTAGAGGTAGCAGATTTCAAATTTGGACATAAATTTGATGTGAATTGAATTAACATAAAAAAACTTTTATTTCAAAAAGTTCCTGCCAAAAATGTTTCGTTTTATTCTTGTTTAATGCACACGTGCCTGAGACTTCTAAGATTTTTTTCAAAAGTTTATTCCCACCCATGACACACATCCACCTTTTTGCTCTAAATTTTGAGAAAAAAGTGCTTGTAGTACTTGAGTGAATATGGTAGCTCAATTTTTGCAAGCACTGTCAACATAAAAAATAACATTTTCTGTATTTTGGAAATGTTGGCAAAGTGTCTATACACCTCAAAGCATTGCCCAGATGTTAATTGAGGGAGATTTTTCTATAGTGGTGGTAAGTGTCCCTGAGTCCAATGGTTCACATTTTTGGGTCACATCATTTATATTGTAAAAATTTTCAATTTATAATTCTGGTTTTTTTGTGGAAAAAAATGAATTGAATCAGGAACTCCATCCAGTGCCTGACCCCACTCTTGTTCCGGGTGGGTCGTGTGGACATTTACTTCGAATTCACTGGTACCAATGGAGTCGAGGATATTGTTATGAAGCGCATCTTTGTGGCAGAAAAACCCGATAAAACCATTACCATTGGTGAGTCAAAAAAGCTGAAAAATTCTGAATAATGTTCCCCAACCCTTTTGGTGCATGAACCAGAAAATTTCAATACAATTTTTGGCTCAACTGGCAAATTTTCCAAAAATTTCATTGGACAGGCAACATTTTCGCAGACTCAAAAAATTTTTCTTGAAGGACTTTATGGTAAGCATTTAGAAAGTTCCTCCTTTTTTGTTTTTGCAAAAATTAAGTTCAGAACCAATGAAGCAGCTACAGTGGAATATCTTCAAAAATTTAGAGATGACACATCTCATGATGGCCCCATCACTGATGTACAGTAATTAATTCATACCCTCACTCGTTGAAAGTGTCAATTAATTATGCGGCTTTTTCTTGATTCAAAAATTAAAAAAATCAGCTAAAACATTGGTTGGCACCGTAACCCGCTGCGAAGTAACGTGGACCACGTCCTGGTTGACCAGTGCTTCCGTCGAAGTGATTTTCCAGCCTTTCGACAGCAAAATTGCCCCGAAAGTCCTCGCCACTGTCCCCAACACTGGCTCAACGTCAGTCGACGCCTCGCTATTCTATTCTGACCCAACAAAGGTCATCGGCAACGTCGGGATTCAAGCCGTGGGCTCGGGGTCATTGCGACCCAAGGTTTGGGCCAATATGGAAGAATTTTATCACCTTTTTTGGCCAGGGGGGTATGAAGCGGATTGTGTGGAATTTGTGAAGAATACAGTGTTGCCATACACTCCGGCGTCGTGCCCGCCAACTGAAGCACAAGCTAGAATTGACCCAAGGTTCCTTATTGATGAAAATGCGCCGATTTACTACCATCCGAAGGCGAAGGTTTGCTACAGGTAATGGTGCCAATTTGGTGCCTCAGATATTTCCTAAATTACTGGTGATGTACCCTCATTTTCTTGAGTAAAGTATCACGCACGCTCGAAAAACAAGATACACAGTTCAGTTTAAAATTTTTTTAAATTGAAAAAATTGGATTTCGAACCTATAAAAAGAATAAATTCGAATTTAAATTGCAAATAAACTTCATTGATTTAAACTTTTTTGGCTTTGTATGATCATCTGCCATATATTCCAACTGCTCTAATACTTTTTCTCAAACTTACAGGCGGGTACAAAAATTTTCATATCAATGTATACAAGGCCTACACATTGAAGAGAAATTTATCCCTGACTAACATATATATGCACTCCATTTCTGAGTCCTTGGAATCAATCAATTTTTATTGAAAGCCCCCTTTCAGAAAATTCTCTATAAGCTCGAAATTAACTTAAATTCTATTGCTCTTTAAATTCTATCCAGTCATATCAACATTTGTCATAAATATTTAAAGCAAATTTATATGCAGGTATACAGAGGTTCCCAACTTTTTTTTAAGTTTAGGTGGACCTAATACTTCAGTCACGGGAGAAAAGTATTTTATTCTTAGAAAACAAAAAATTATTTGAAGAAGCTGAATGCAATAGAAAAATAGTTCCATTCAGATAAATTCACTTCAAGTCACGCTTGAAATTCTAATCATTTTAATTTAGACTTGAAGATAGATTCTTATCCACATTTGATACTGAAAACTGGAGAGTCTTACTCAATGGTGAATGCTACTTGAGTCATAAAAAGCTTCTTTTATTTAATCTTATTAGAATAACTTTTTGCCGCAAAATTTGCACAGAAAGGGGCGCACTAAAGATATGCAAGAGTTTGGCAAAATATTTTAAAATTCTTGAAGAATATGATGAAGGTACAGTACTGTATATAAGAATCCTAATTTTTCAAAGCAGGGCCTGGGACCAATAAAATACCAAAACATTATTTTGTCAACTTATGCCCTGAATGTGGCAATTTAATTGCTTAATTTTCCAACTGACATGCATCATCAAGTAGTTTCTACCATCTTTTAGGAAGAGAATTTCAATGCAGCCTTGTTTTTTTTTTTCAGTGCACTGGTACCAACTGTAACTGCCATCCAAGAGTGCTGCTATGACTCTGGAGGTCTCATCATTTGCAAAGGAACAGATGGTGGAACAAGAAAAAGGGTTACCCCCAGGAGTTTGTACTGGCTGCATTTTGAGTATGACATCATTCCATTCTACATGTGTTGCAAAAACTCAAAAATAAGCCAGACAGCCAATGAAGAACACTGCAAAAGCTACTACACAAAGAGGCCAAGTGACTGTGGCACTAATTACCAGCCCCCAAGACCTGGAGGCATCAATGGTGACCCACATATTGTAACCTTGGATGGACTGGATTATACCTTCAATGGCAAAGGAGAGTACCATTTGGTGAAGGGACCAGATTGCCAAATTCAGGTATGCTCAAAAGAACATTTGAAGCAATTGAGAAAGTATAATCCATGAAAGTATTTAGATGACTTTTTACATTTTGTTCTTGGTGATGTCAAAGGCATCCCTGCATAATCAAACAAATCCATTCATAAATGAGTTGTTATTTAAATTTTTTAATGCAGAAATATTGCGCTTTAAAAAGCTGAAATCCACTGTACATTTAAAAAATAATTAATCTAAAAAACTCCAGTTTTCCAAGACTTTAAATTAGTTTCTTCCACCAGAATGCTGATGGTTTTTCTGAAATCTTTCTGAAGGACACTGAAGAAATTGAAACTTGATTGCATATGCTGACACTTTGTATATTTCCTTTAAACTAAAGTATTAGGATTGGTTACATTTTGATAAAATTTTAAATTTTATATTTTCCACAGGCAAGGTTTGGAACAACTGCAGCAGCCACTTCAGCAACATTAATCAAAGCTGTCTCCTACAAATGCACCAGCATGCCAAAATCAGGTGTACATCTTCAACAATCAGAAAGTGGAACAGCAGTTCAAATTTATACCCAGGATGGGGTGCCTCTCACTGTGACTGATACAACTGCGTTGGATGCAAATGTAACAATTACAAAAACTGGGCCCACATCCTACTTGATATCTGGCACAGATGTGGATCTTGAAGTTGGACTCGCAGGGGGTGCCATGTGGACCAATTTCTATGTGTCCCAAACCCACAAAAACAGGGGGACTGTCAAGGGACTGTTGGGTAACTTTGATGACAACCCAATTAATGACTTGGTACCAAAAACAGGCAACGCTTTGAGCTTCAATGCAGGTTTGTTTCACAACCTTGACTTATATTCATCCCTTTTCCTCTCTTGGCTGGCAAAGCTTGGAAATATAGTGAGGTATTTGTTTATAAACTTAATCTTTTTCTGCATTTCCCAAAAGCCATTTTCCAAAAGCCTTTTCCAAAGAGAATATAAAATAAACACACATTTAGGTGCTGCACAATTCACTTTTAACCTGCTTCTGTAAAAATAAATGAAAATGCAAGACAATCTGTGCAGTGCCAGATGTACTCGCCAAATCATTTTGAAACATATCTTTAATGAGAACACAGTCATTAAAAGTAAATCAGGTTGAAAAAAATTATCAAGAAAGAACTCAGCAAAAATATGCCACTGAGTGGGTTTAATATGGTTCACTGTTTCAGACCTGCGAACTATCCATAATAACTTCGGTGAAACCTGGAGAGTGAGTGCAGCTGAGTCCACCATGATTTATGTTCTGGGCATGACCTATGAGAAGGCAAATGATGCTACATTCACACCCACCTTCACTGTTGCAGCAGACAAATCCACATTCCCTCTAACAGTCCAACTGGCTTGCCAGGACAACAAAGCTTGCTACTTTGACTACCAAGTTACCAAGGACCTGAGTTTAGCCAGTGGCACCAAAAGTACTCAGGAGAAACTTGCCAACAACAAAAATACCTTGACTAATGGAGCCACTTGTCCAGCACTATCTTCTGTGGCCAATGGTCAGGTGACCAGCAATGGTCAGACAGTTGGCTCCACAGCTGTTTATTCTTGCAATGCTGGTTTCAACATTTTTGGCTCTGCTGAAGTGACTTGCACTGCATCTGGAGTTTGGAGTGGGTCTGCAGAATGTTTGTCTGTCCCTACAGCAGGAAAATTGCGACACCTCAATGTTTGGCTGGCCAGAGTGCTAGACAGGTTGCTTGATGGTCAGTCCATTTGAATCACAGGGAAATGATTTTATGTTATTTATGGTTGCTCCCCAGCCAAGGTGGGATTTTGTTGTTGCAGAAACAAGATTTGCGTGTTTAAATCTTGCCGTGAGAGAAATAAAAAGGGGATTTTTTGCGTGCTGTGAAGCTGCTGGAGTCTAAATTATTCTTCATGATTTCAAATTGAATGATGCTCCAATGTTTATTGTGGCACACAAGCCACAAAGAGAATCAATGAATGAATGAATGAACAGAACACTTCATTTGCCGCTTTTCAGCGTTCACAAGGTTCACTCAAGATTTCCACAACCAAACCCCCCTTCCCACCCAACCCAAATCCACTCAATGACATTTTAATCACTTCAGAGCAGGAAAGCACAAATTGCTAACAACAATAAAAGAATCAAATTAATAAAATGCAACCTAATAATCAAATCAATAAAACACAGAATCTGTCAGGGAACATGGCAGGGAGCCCTTTGGTAAGGGCTCCAAAAGAAAGAGGATCAAAAGTATATTTCAAACAACAATTGACAAGATAGCACTGAACAACAATAACTATGCTGCGCAAGGCAAATCAAGACTGTTTCTGTAATTAGGGCAAAATGGATGACATTGGAATTCTGCTCGGGGAATTCCAACGTGGAATTATTGTGTTGGTAACAGAATGGTGCTGCTGGTGACACCTATCTGTGGTTGGCTTTGAAAGAATTTGCACAAGACTTTTTCCAAATTTGAAGAAAACCAAAGTGGAAGAGCGATTACGCAGCTCCCAAGCTAGATTGGATTTTTTTAAAGTCAAAGAGGGATAAAAATGAGACAACAGGCAACCGTGCCAGTTTGAGTGAGACTGATACTATATTCATGATTCAAAACACCTTATATACACAGAACAACAAGCATGAGCATATGGGC